CTGGGCATGTGCCCCGACGGGGAATCAAACTGGTGACCTTTCGGTGCATGGGTCGATGCTCAACCAACTGAGCACACTGGCCAGGCTCTACTGATTATTTCAATAACAAGATGGAATTGGGGACTCATTAAGGTATTTGTGCTTCAGTAGGATTCACCCCCAAAAGCTGTCAATGAAATTTTGAAAGGAAGACTGAGCCTATGATGCCATTGAAACAATTTTCTTGAATACTACTGTGTTAATTATGAAAATAGTAGGCGTGCATTATTCATTCATCCATTTTAGAAATATATGGCAGGGTCCCTGAGAGTACAACAGCAGAAACATCACAATAATGCATTTATAAAGCTTACAGTCTTCAAAACTTTACAAAAAAACTTAGGGCCATTCACTTGGAAAAATACCAAACGTTGGGGGAAGCGACTTCAGATATGAACCAGTCAAAATCCACTATTTTGTAGATGACAAAAGCGAGGGCTAAAGAAGTCGATTAAATCAGGTAAAGAAAAAAATGTCTATGTATAGATCTATACCTATATCTTCATATAGTTTTATAGCCTAGGATGAATAATTTAACAGAAAAGAGTGCCTTTTCCATAATACATAAGACACTAGGTTAAAATACTTGTCCTAGGTTATAAAATGAATTAATGAGGAAGGTAGGGCCAGAGCCTGAACTTCTCTTGAGATCATGGTGGAAATTTCCTCAATAGTGTTCATTTGGTAAAAAACCGCTGGACCAACCCGGATACGAGAAAACAGAACAGGCTTCAAGTACTTCTTTGGACCACAGCACTGCAGATATGTCTCACACAGATGCTGCCCCAGTCTGGACTGGTAATTATGGGCCACAAGGAAAGGCGATGTCCCTAGATCCCCCCTCCCCCCGCCCGCCTTAGGGCAGAGACACTGGAAATGGTAAATACTTTAAATTTCCATTTTTATTCCACAAAACAACAGCAAGGAAGGAATCTTGCTCCTGGCGAGGATACAGGGCTGGAGCCATTAGTTTCTTGAAGAGTTATTTATATGCCGCTAAATGAATGGCACTTTGGATTTAAATGACCTTACTCGCACTTGGGTTGGGCAGTTCATGCTGTTCACTAGCGCAAAACAGAAACAAAACCTCTCGTCACTAAAAAGAAATTCAGCCTCAGAGATGTTAAGCATCTAGCTTAAAGTAGAAATCAGCAGTCCTTTTAGGTGACCTGAAGGATGGGGGACAGAGCAAACACAGAGAGGATGACCTGTGGAGCCCTGAGGTGTCCCTTGCCGTCTCTGGAAGGACAAACAGCAACTGCGGACTCTGGCGGCCGGCCCCTGGGCGGGAAAGAGTGGGTGCTGGTGTGCCCGCGGCCCAGCTCGGCTTTGCGTGTCCCTTGGTCTTCCAGCGGCTGCGCGAGTCCTGGAGACCCCACACCTGAGCAGCCTGTCTGCCGGGCTCCCTCTCCCCAGAAAGCCCAAAGGGAAGGCCCCATATTCCTCCTAGTCCGCGTGCAGGCTCCGCCCCAGGAGACCCAAAGTTCATGCTCACTGCGCCCCCCGCCCCCCATTCTGAGTCTCTGCTTTCATGCCTAAAATGCAAGGTTTGCATTTGGGACAGTCTTTGGGCACCAGAATCTCGAGAGCTTGATAGGATATTGGATGGGGCAGCATAGAATGTTGGTCAAAGACAGCTCGGATGGTAGGAAGGGTTCCCAGATAAAATCCAGGGTGCCTCGTTCAATTTGGAGTTCCGATAAAATTGTGCCCTCAATATTACAGTATCCTAAAATGACCATGGTTCAACTGAAATTCAAATTTAACTGGGCCTCCTGTATTCTTATCTGCTACATTTAACAACTCCAAATTTCTGGGGGATAGCAGGTAGCAGAGCCCGCCTTTGTGTGAGCTGTTTGAGTGGGAGAAGAAGAAACAGAGAAAGAAAGAAATGAAACACAATAGTTCTGAGAAGCAAAATCCATTCATCGCCCCCTCTCTCCCCCTTAGATCTTTGTGCGTGGTGCGTGTGCGGGTGTACGTACAAGTACATGTAAGGCCTTGTGTTTTGTTGACACAAGGATCGTGGTATTGAAGAAAATTGTTGACAGTGATACTGATTACAGGCATTGGCAAAACAAGAGTGAAATTAAAAACAGTAAAAATGTAGTTAGTTTAAAAGTAACACTATTTGTTTCAGGGCAGCCTACCATATAAACCCAGCTGCCACACAGCCCAATCCCAATTTTGCCTGTTCCAAGTCTTTCCGTGTTTTAAGAGAACCATAAAATGTTACTAAAGGGTCTGAGAAATCATCTAGTCCAACCTTGACATTTACAGATTAAATAACCAAGACCCAGAGAGAAAGTCACCAATATAGAATCCGGCTGCCTGACACTATTAATAAGAGAACCATAATTTTTAAAGGCTTACTAAGTGCCAGGCATTTTCCTTAGCGGTCTACTTGTATAATCACATTTAATCATCACAACAACCCCACAATCATTCTCACTATTCAAATGAGGCAAACTGAGGCAGAGAGGATTCTGTAGTTTATCTAAGGTTCAAGGTTAGGTCGCTAGTGAGTAGGCGGCCGCTAAAATCCCAGCTAGTTTGGTTCTAGACCCATACGCTCAACCACGAAACTGCGGCCTCTCCAGTAAGATGAGTTTATATCATTAAGCATGTTCAGACATGTAGATTTTCACAGCTTACTGCTCCTGTAGCATGATCTTGTACATAATAACAAGGTCACCCGAACGCAGCTCACAGGAAGCCGGCCGGACGCTCGCACTGCCCCGCTCAGCGGCCTCCGCGTCAAAGCAGTTATCTGCTCACTGGTGAACAAGCCCCGTAATACAGGGAGTCTTCTAGGACCAGAGAGCAATTGAGCTTCACTTCGTTTTTGAAACATTTTTAATGAAATACGTAACACCAGGGTCTACTATCAAAGCAAACATTCGCAGTCAGATAGGATTTTATGAGTTTACATTTTGAGTAGTTCATGAAAGAAAAGAAGAAGAAAAGAGAAGGGTGGGGGGGGGAGGGAGAGAGAGAAATGAAAACAGAGAAGGCTCCCTGATCGGACTGTTAGTCGCAAAAGAGACCAAGTTCTCTTAGGTAGAGGCAGGCCCTTTGTGAGCATGCGGCGGTGCAGCTATAGCCTTAATTATATACAGAAAGAATAATCGCCATGCTCAATGTTGCATTTATCTCCTTTTACAATATGCTTGCTTTCTTCTCTGTCTTTCGAGCTATCAACCCCTAGCATCTCAGATGATCAATCCATCCGTCGGTTTCCAGACCCCAGGGCCTGTTTATCGCAGGCAGAGGATTAAGCTCGCCTGGGTCTGCTTTGAAGCCCTGTTTCCCGGAGCTACCCTTCCTGGGACTCAAAAGCCTGTCCGATCTTTAAGAGAAAAACGAGGCAGCAATTGGCGTTCTCGGGAGCTCCAGGCTCCACCTGGGAGACACCAGGACTCCACCAGTCCAAGACGAGAGCCAGGAGCAGTGCAAACACTGTCTCCCCTCTGCCCCGCAGGGAAGGAAGGAAGGGTTCGTCTGATAGGCCTGTTTCTGCAGCCCTAGGCAGGACCTCGCCAAACCCTCTGAGAGACAGAGGAACCAGGCCCTCCCCGGTCCCCCCCAGGAACCCCCTCAAGGGTGCATTGGAAATGAAGGGAGCTTTTTGCAAAACAAACCCGCATGCTCTTTTCCTCAGAAAGGTGGCAGTGTTGCCTTGCGGTTTTGACCAAATTGCAGAGCAGTGGCAATGTCTCTAGTGGATTAACACACCAGCCACCTCACCTCACCAGGGAAGGAGAGGGAGGGTGTAAGCACTGCTGAACCCGACCGCTGGCAGGCTCGCCCCAGAGCTCCAGGGCACCGAGCATTATTGCAGCTGAGCTCGGCGTCTCCATCTTGCTTCAACAGCACAGAGACTAAGAAAATCTCCAGTGGACCCCCGGAGACTTCTAAAAGCCAGGAGCACCTAAGGAAGCCACAGAGAACCCATGTTTTCCAGCATCCACTCTTCTCGTTGTCGAAATATCCACGCCAAGTGAAACACTGAGTGGTCCTTTGCAGAGGGCCAAGGAAAACTTAGCGAACTAGGCCAGCAACCTTCTAACACCTGCCCTACGGAATGTCCACAGCAGAGTTCTCATAAAATAATTCACCTTCTAAGTAAAAGTTCAGCTATCCACTGAGTGGCTTGTTACTGCTTTTATAGAACTGATATTATACAGTTATGAAGAAAGAACCCAAGAAGGCAGAGTCTCTGTGTCTAAATGTGGAACCCCACACAGTCAAGCCGTCCATGGGCGCCTATACCAACCCTTCCTGAGCAGCGCTCAGAGTTCCCATCGCTCCCACTCACCTTCACTCAGTGTCCTTTGAGAAGTTTCTCTATGCGCTACTGACACAGAAATTTGGGGAAAAATTCTCCATTTATAAATATCAGATGGTTTGGGAAAAAATATTTGTGGCACTGGACTTTTTTTTTCTCTCCCTACAGTGATGTCATTTTAAATACTTGTTGTGCTCCAAATTGGCTATTTTTACTTCCCCCAAGTGACTTTTTTGGGAAATACATTTGTTTGGATTAGCTGCATTTTAAGTGACCCCTGTAATCTAATACACAGCACCAGGTTCATCTTCTCAGCAAGTATAACTAGTATTATGCCGCTCACAAACTTGAAACCCCCTAATTTGTTCGTTGTCAAACTTGTTCCTTTTGGGTGTACCCCCAAATTTTCTATTCACAGATACAGAGAGAAAAAACTAAAATGAAAGGATCGGCCTTTTCACAAACAAAAAGCGCGCTCGGAGCCTCAAAGTACTTAAAACGGAAGACATTAAAGGCCCCCAAGGTCAAATACAATGTTCACTCCCACAGCGCGCTTTTCCGGAGCGAGGCTGAAAGCCTCGGCGGCTCTGGGACGCGCACGGGAAAGCCGTCCAGAGCTGAGAGGTGCAGAAGAGGAGAGTTTAGGAAGGAATGCCGGGCGCCTCAGCCCTACCTGATCTGAACTTGCTCCTAATCAGCAAAGAATGCTCAGCCCCCAGGAGGGTCATGTTGAGTCTCAGCGAGCCGCTGGTCCCTTGGCCAGGCGCCCCCCGCTTTCCACCGGGAACGGGCTCCCGGGAGCCCGGCTGAGCGCAGCGCACAGCGCAGAAGTCATCCAGCTCTCCGGGAGCTCCCCTGGGTAGGAGTCCAGCGGCCCGCGGGACCGGGGCCGGCGTCCCCGGGCGCCCGTGGCTCCCCCTCGCTGCGCGGGCGGGTTAACTCCTCGCCGGC